TTGACTCAAATTATGTCAATTAGCCTATCAGAAGCTTCTAAAGCCATGACATAATTTTCTGGAATTTTCCACGCTGTTTAAAGGCACAGTCAATTTAGTGCATGTACAATTCTGACCCACTGGAATTGTGATACAGTGAATTATAAGTGAAATAATCTGTCTGTAAACGATTGTTGGAAAAATTACTTGTGTCATGAACAAAGTAGATGTCCTAACCGACTTGCCACAACTATAGTTTGTTAACAAGAAATTTGTGGAGTGGTTGAAAAACGAGTTTTAATGACACCAACCTAAGTGTATGTAAACTTCCAACTTCAACTGTATATATATATATATATTTGCAAAAAAAAAATTACAACCTGTTTTCGCTTTGTCATTATGGGGTATTGTGTGTAGAATGACGAGGAAAAATAATACTTTTATCCATTTTAGAATAAGGCTGTAACGTAACAAAATGTGGAAAAAGTCAAGGGGTCTGAATACTTTCCGAATGCACTGTATTTCTGGATATACCAGAGACTGAAGAGGAAGCAAGACATCTCACTCATTTTTTGGAGGGTTCATATACTAGTTCATATACTGTCAATGGAAACCGCTACAATATACAATTATATTTGTGTTTGTGGATGAATTTACTTCTGCCTGATGCCTTTAATGGTGTTTTTGGCATGAAGACCATTGTGCCATGTTTTTGCCCATAGACCATTCAAAAAGCCTCCAAATGTTCAAAAACGACTAGCTTCCTCCATGGAATACTGCGAACTTCAGTGATATCAGTACCTTTCAATGCTAACATTTCACACTTTGAAAAAGTTGTAGGGTAACAAAACGTGAACTATTTTTAAATATTCTGAGAATGTAAGTGAAAAGTTGGCCTGTTCTGGGAATGTTAATTTTTAGGTTGCAGGGAGGTTCTGAGAAAGTTTTACTATGGTTCCCTGAAAAGTTTTCCTGTGCAGTTTTATTATAGGTTTTGGTGTTTTTAAAATAACTTCCTTTAAACTTTCACATTAAGACTTAATAACAATTCTAGTTTATTTGGGGTTAGCTTTTTTTAAACTCCAAGCACAGGACACATGGAAATCAATTAATTTATGCATATATCATGCAAACAGATTTCTTTGTGACACGTTGAGATTCAAACCTCATCTTCTGTTCTCTACCCATGGAGCTAGCGTTCTCTTTTTACGCATACAAAGCAGTTCATTTTAGTCTAGTCAAACACCCCATTTCAAAGGAAACAAGCACTCATTAAGCTCAAGTGTGGCCAGTTAGTGGGTGCGGCCACCACTCCTGAACACACTTAACAAGATAAAGAATAGTTTTGTTGATGCTGAGAACTGAATGTATATATTTTTTAAATAACATTCTTAGAATGTTCTCTGAACGTTACATTTTTTGTATATGGAAAGTTTTATTAATGTTCAATGAGCAATTTGAAAACACGACTTTAAATAGAACCATGAGGAAACCTGTAGGAAACGTTATGCTGAAGTACTGAAATTACCACAGAAAAATGTTCTTAACTTTTCTCTGGGAATGTTCTCAAATAGTTAAATGTCAAACCAGTTGGAGAACGTTCCTAGAACATTAGCAAAATTGAAATATTTGAACTTTTACGAAACATTCTGTTAAAGGAATGACATACAACAACAACAAAACTCATTAAGCCAAGCAACTATGTTGCACCATTCCCAGAAGGTGGTGGGAACGTTGCATGCAAAATAACCATAGGACAACCACGCTGTCACGAAGCTCTAAGAAACATATGGTTCTCAGAATGCTGGAGCCGGCGCGAGATATGGCTCGGAAAACGTACCTCAAACCAGGGATGAGAAATGCGTTGTACTCTGAATTGTCCCATTATCCCAACTGTTACACTGAGAAGATTGAACAACTGCTAGTTTTCAAGTTAACTGCCATTTTCGTCCTCATGCTAGTGTGACCGGTGTAGATGAGAAGATTGCAGTAAAAATGTATAATGTACAGTATAGCGTATGGGCCTGGGATAGCCAACTTTAAAAAATGACAAGCAGGCATTATGTGCACTTACGAGCAAAGCTAACCATGGACAGTAAATATCGTCAACATAACTAGACAAACAAAAACACGTGACATACCTGATCAAGAAACAAACAACATCCATAAATGAAATGGACCACGAGTGGCGCAGTGACCGGGAGACCCATGGGCAGCGCACAATTGGTCCAGCGTTGTCCAAGGTAAGGGAGGTTTTGGCCGGCAGGGATGTGTACATGTACAGCATTCACAAATCAACAGATAAAAAGTTCATAAATGCATAAAATCACAATGTATTGGTAGAAGACCATAATAGTACAATGTCAATGACTATATAAACTCAATATCTGTGTTTCAACATATTGGATTGATGAGGATTTTCATGGGACAATTTTTCAGTAACCTCTTCCACATGGGTACAGATTTTTATGAGGGGTGTGGGGTTCTATTTTCTCATAACTGGAGGGATGAATAGCTTAGAAGGAATGCATTGGTGATTAAACATATAAGGTTTGTACTGTACTGATATAAATTGTTTCACATAACAAGCTGTGATTCATGTGAGGAACGTTAGGGGGTAGGATGAGATAAGAACTTATGTCTCAAAATACTAGACTACACTGCTTCTTTGTGATCTGTGAACCGTCCAAGGACGTGTACTGCAAAAGTGCTGACTTTCTGGATAAGTTGCAAAACAACTAGATGCCTGGCAACAGTGTGCAACAGTGGAGCGCCAAGGGGCTGGGACCAGCCTGTGCGCCAACGGATTGGCTGAGTAAGTCTAAACCACGCTCAGTCTCTACTCTGATTGGCCAGCAGGGAGCGGGAACTATCTCTGTCAGAGTATTTTAAGAAGAACTCATAACAATGGCTTAGTTCTCTGTCTGCCCTGCGTGGTATTTCAGTGAGCCCGTATACGAACCATCATACTTATCATACATACATTTTGCATATAATAAATGTAGCTTGGATTGAATATCTCTTGATTATGTGTTCTCTTATTCCAATACCAGATTTGAATTACGCAAGCAATTTCTAACAGGGGGTATACAGAAGGAAGTGTGCGACATTAAAAGGGCACTTACAACAACAAAAGGAATGTACACTAATATCAGGCATGGGAACTATTTCGATTTTGTGTAATTATACATGAAATTCAACATTTGTTACACTAGCTAGCAGTAGCCATTATGTAATGGTACATCGCGTTGAGCAACAAAGGAGCTGATTGGCTGACATTGTCATTCCAAAATGGCTGCTGTGGCTTCTGCTACCTAATATGAGAACAAAAAGGGCAGTTGTCTGGAAGAACAAGCAGTCGTTCAATCTTCTCAGTTGGGATAATGGGACAATTCGGAGTACACCGCATTTGTTATCTCTGGATTGAGGTACTTCTTCCGAGCCATATCTCGCGCCAGCTCCACGGAGTCTTAATCTAAACAGGAAGCCTGTCTGACCCCAGTGCAACTATAAACAAGCATAGGGTCTGAATTTATTCTGGATAGTTAATAGGTAGAGAGAGTGGGGTGTTTTAAGTACCTGGGAACCATCATGGACAGCACATTCTCTTTAACGACAACACATCAATAAAAAATGCCAACAAAGACAACTGAATGTCAACACCCGGATACTCTCCAACTACTACACCTGCCATATAGAGAGTGTGCTGACTTTCTGTTTCCTAGCCTGGTACGGTGGGCTGTTAGTATCTAACAAGGGAATCCTCAGGAGAACTGTGAACCTGGGGTCCAAGCTCTGCGGGCTGCAGTGCAGGTGGCTTCAGGACCTCTATGATAGATGGGCAATTAAGGGACAAGGCCAAGCGCATCACGAGGACCCCACACACAATCTTGCCCAATGTTTTGAGCTGCTGCCCTCCGGAAGGAGATATAAGGTCCCACTGTTCAGCAAGAATAGGAGCAGGGCAAGTTACATTCCGGCAGCCATCAGGCTTTTAACAGAGGGAACACATTGCCCTGCTCCTATTCTTGCTGAACAGTGGGACCTTATATCTCCTTCCGGAGGGCAGCAGTTCAAAACATTGGGCAAGCTTGTGCGTGGGGTCCTCTACATGCGCTTGGCCAGATGGAGGCCCAATACATGCTCATACAATAGGCTGCAGAGACTCTAAAGCCTTGTTCACACTGCAGGCCTTAATGCTCAAATCAGTTTTGTTTTTCCAAATCCGTTTTAGACTACTGACTGTCCAGACAGCAAGTTACAAGTGACTAAATCTGATGTGTGTGTGTTCAGACAACAGTCATTTGCTGACAAGGCTGCGCTAGTTGTCATAGTAATGACAGTTGTGTGTGTGCAGTGGTGTAGGCTGATTGGTGGTGGTGCTTGTGCTTCCTATCACTCAGAAGTTATGTAGCATGCTAAGGTGACAACAATGCCTGCCATGGATGTTTCCCAGTTGCTTTGAATGTTCAAAATCATAGGGTAAGAACACTTTTAAAGCCTCAAAGGATAAGATGATCCAACTTTCAAAACAGGTACTTTTTGGCTAGCCACAGCAGTCAACTAACTAGATGGGTAGCTGTTTAGCTTTCTAGCACATTCACTCATTTGTTTGTAAACAATTAACAAGCTAGTTAGCTACCACATGTTCTTGTCAAACTGTCAACAGAGTAGCTAGCAAGCAACAAGATATGCAGAATAACAGTCTAAAAACCTTGACATCAGAAGAGTTACAGGGTGTGTTAAGTGGTGATGTCCCATCTTTTCAGGTTGAGGGCATGAGGTAGGAATAAATAGATTTAAATAGTGGAGTAGGGTGGTGTTAATTTAAAAATATATAACATTATTTGAATGTGTGAGTGTAGTGTTAGATGGTAGGGTATTTCTTTATTTTTCAAGCAAAATGTAAGGGAGTTGTACTCCAGTCTAGTAGGTGGCGGTAATGCAACATATTGGATGCCAACTGCCGTTACATCTCATCAACAAGAAGAAAACCTCATCGAAGAAGAATAAGTATTTCCGGGATAACGATAAAACGCAGACAGGAAAACATGTGTTTTGGACTGCACCTTCAGATGTAGATAGTAGAAAGTTCCAGAAACAGCAAAGGAACAGTTTGTTTATCAACAAGTCTCTTGAAGTGGAAAAATGTCAGTCATAGCAGAGGAAAATGTCCGTGGCACTGGAGGTAGTGTTTTCAAGGAGATCAGTGCTGATGACGAAGACAATCAACCCACCGAAATTGAGAGTCTGTGCATGAATTGTTACCAAAATGTAAGTCGATCGCTAACTAACTCACTGATTAGTTAATTGAACGTATGGGCTTGTCTATATCGCTGTATGATTGACTCATCTAACATGTTGTGTTCTCCCCATTTTTGTAGGGAATGACACGTATTCTTCTTACGAAGATTCCTTTCTTCAAAGAAGTTATCATCAGTTCTTTCACCTGCCCCAACTGCAGCTGGTCGAACACTGAAATCCAATCAGCTGGTCGCATACAGGATCAAGGCATCGCCTACACACTCAAAGTCAAGTCAAAACAGGTAGTCTACGTAGGATGTAGTTCCTTTCCCAGGCATGTGCTGAACCACTGACAAGTAACTGCGTAGGCTATGAGATGTAGCTAGCCTGAGTGCCAGTCTGTTTGTATCATGCCACTCATTGTCATGGCAAAATAGCAATGGAGTTGGCATTGACAAGAAGGAACCTGCAAGTAAGTGTTTCGTTGGACGATGTATACCATGCGTATCCCGTACATACGACTAATGAAACTTGAAACATTGGCAAGAGCAGAACCAGATCCAGGACGAGGCTAGCCAGATGCGTTTGTTACGCAGTGTGGGTTAGCCTACTCCTTTACCATCCAATACATTATGTTAAGCGGTAAACTGGCTCTGGCAGCCAAAACAGCCTCATACTCATCTAAACTGAAATCTATTCTCAATTGCGATATGTCAATCAAATCAAATTTTATTGGTCACATACACATATTTAGCAGATGTTGTACACATATTTAGCAGATGTTGTTGCGGGTGTTCCTAGCTCCAACAGTGCAGTAGTATCTAACAATTCACAACAATACACACATCTAAAAGTAACATAAATAAATTGAAGAAGGTGAAAGTGGATTCACACTGGTAAGTCCAATTTTATCACCCCAGCCTCATCTCTGTACAATATTAAAGTTACATGAATTGAACGTTTCTGGCAATACAATCAAGGCACAGGTTTAATCAGAACTACAAATGTTTTTTTTTTTTTTTTTTTTACTCTGGATTTCTTTCAGAATGATCCTCTGTTTAAGATACATGAGTATGTGTGTTACAGGTCATTAACAATTCACAACAATACACACATCTAAAAGTAAAATAATGGAATTAAGAAATATATAAATATTAGGATGAGCAATGTCGGCGTGGCATTGACTAAAATACAGTAGAATAGAATACAGGATATACATGAGATGAGTAAAGCAGTATGTAAACATTATTTAAAGTGACGAGTGTTCCATTATTAAAGTGGCCAGTGATTCCGTGTCTGTATATAGGGCAGCAGCTTCTAAGGTGCAGGGTTGAGTAACTGGGTGGTAGCCCTCTAATGATGGCTCTTTAACAATCTGATGGCCTTGAGATAGAAGCTGTTTTTCAGTCTCTGTCCCATCTTTGACGCATTAAACACTTCTATGAATACTTTATTATCACATCAAAATAATTGTACAAATGCGATATATACACTTACTGTTGAAACAGTTGCAGCCGATAGCATTTTTAACACTTTTCTAGCGTCCTTCCTTTACACACTTGTTTGGAGAAAGGGGTGTGGCAAATTTCCACTGATTTACCTAAGTCTCAGACTTGTTTCCAGCTCCATACCTTCTCACTAAGCAGCTGTTGACGCTGACGTTGATTATGCTCTTCACAAGTCTTTAGTGTCACACTCTGTGATGGAAACAGTTCCCAAAATATAACACTAGAGCAAACATTAACATAATCACTGGCAACACACTGGTGCTGTAATGGAAAAACCGTGCAACACATCCATTGGAAATATTGCCATGTGGGATTCTGTTAAAATCAAGAACAACAGCTTTTTCACCTTGTCTGCTTGGGGATTCAAACCATCAAGCTTTCTGTTACTGGCCCAACGCTCTAACCCAGGGGTGTCAAACTCATTCCATGGAGGGCATAGTGTCAGTGGGTTTTTCCTTTCAAATAAGACCTAGACAACCAAGTGAGGGGAGTTCTTCACCAATTAGTGACCTTAATTAATCAATCAAGTACAAGGGGGGAGCGAAAACCTGCAGACACTCGGCCCTCCGTGGAATGAGTTTGACACGTGCTCTAACCGTTAGGCTACCTGCCATGTATTTACCTTTTTTGTTTTTTGAAAATTATTTCTCGACGATATGAAAGTAAAGTTGTCCCGTGTAGCTCAGTTGGTAGAGCATGGCGTTTGCAACGCCAGGGTTGTGGGTTCGTTTCCCACAGGGGGCCAGTATGAAAATTTATGCACTCACTAACTGTAAGTCGCTCTGGATAAGAGCGTCTGCTAAATGACTAAAATGTAAATGTGAAATGTTTCCTATACAAAACCGGCTGCACGGGCAATGTGTACAACAGTCCCTCCCGACACTCTGTCTAAACTGTATTGGTAACGTTTAGACAGAGCGTCGGTACTGTTGTACACATTGGCCGTGCCGTCGTCAATCCTTCCCATGAGAACATAGGCCCAGACTAGCTTCAGCACACCTTTTGATTTATATAGCTAGCTAAGAAAGAAAACAATGTATTATATTATTTGATTAATCTTGTATTAGATATTTAGTCTGTTTTGTCATCTCATTTCGTAGGATATGAATCGAGAAGTTGTCAAAGCGGACAGTGCAACCACCAGAATCCCAGAACTGGATTTTGAAATCCCCCCATACACACAGAAGGGCTGTAAGTACTCACTCAGCTTTTATTGATTTGGAAAACAATATTCACTCTTCATGCATACATGCCGCTGTCATGTTGCCACTCATATTTTGTTGGCCTGATAATTGCTAGCCTGGTCCCAGATCTAGAAAATTGCCACTAATCTAGAAAATCCAATATACTGGCTTTTACTGCTGAGATTCCTCTTAGCTTTTTTTACTGGGATCATTTGTATATTTTATTTATACACAGGGGTGCACATAACTGGTACGCAAGCGCAACAAAAATCAGGAATGCGTAATGCCACTTGTGTTACTACGCACCTTTGCGTACATGACCGATCTTCTCATCTAACCTTACACATGACATGTTGCTTGTCAACTACTGTCAGGGATGTCCAAAAAGCAACAGACATTAAGCAGCTTCTTTGGCGTTTCGCCACCTACAAAGAAACGCCAACTGGAGCCAGAGCCGAAGAACATAATTTGTTCGGAAAAGTGGCTCCAAGATGTGCAGTGGCTTGAAGGTAATGATGAGCGCACTGAAATGTGGTGCAAGATTTGCCGCTCAAATCCACATCTAGCAGACAAAACAGGTGCATTTTATAAAGGCTCAAAGAATTAACCATCCTTTATTTGACAAACATGAAAAGAGCAAGGAGCACACGAATGTGGCGCAAGCCATTGCTAATAAACAAGCTAGCCGAGAAGAAATGTCCAGTCGCCCACTTGCCAGATGGCGAGACAAGCTGAATGAAGAACAGCGGCAAGCTCTGTTTAATATTTTTCTCCTCGCCTTCCATAAAGCTAAACAAGCACGGCCCATGTCTTCCTATTCTGAGGATGTTCCTTTACTGAAGCGGCTAGGAGTAAATGTCGGAGGTGCATATCATTCACGTGAAGGGGGCACATGGATCATGCAGAGCATCGCTCACACCATCAGCGGGGAGTTACGAGCCAAGTTGCAGTCTGCTGAATTTTGGGGGCTGCTTTTTGATGGAGCTGAGGACATCACAAAAACGGAGCAGGAAATCGTTTACATTGTCTGTGTCCAGCAACGGAGAGTTTACTTCAGACTTTATTGGACTGATTGAATTGGGTGCTGACCGAACCGCGCAGGCCATAACAGATGGATTTGTGAGACTTTTCCAGGACACAGGCTTGGATGACTGGACAACAAAGTTGGTCGCTGTGTGCACAGACGGGGCTGCTGTCAACGTAGGTATCTACAGTGGCGTTGTGCCAAAACTCCGGCAACTTGCTGCGGTTGGAGACTCTCTTGTGCACATTCTGTGCACCGCACACACACTGGAGAATTGCGCGAAATCAGCTGATCGCAACGTTCCTTACTGTGAGACATTTAATCGCTCAGTGGTCAAGCTGCTGCAGTTTTATTTACAAAAAGGTGGAGCAAAAAAAACTGCTGCACTGAATAAGCTATGTGAAGAAAATGGGATCTCCTTTGTGAAACTGGGTAAGTTTTATAATATCAGATGGTCTGCATGGAGGCATGAAACACTGTTAAAAATATCAAAACTATTTCCAGCCATTAAAATGCAACTGGTTACAAGTGATAACAGTGACTTGCAGCATATCTGCACAGAGCGTTTTCAGTGCTTTCTGTCAAACATGCTTGACATTTGCAACATTTTAAAGACCACATCCATTAGGTTTCAGAAGGAAAAGCTGACCATTGGAGAATGTAAGGATGAACTCATGGTGGCCATTGGACAGTTCACACTTCTGCTTGATGGTGAAAGCCACAGGGCACACACTGTTTCCAATGCTGACAGAGACAAGACACACTTACTCAGGGGGTTAATTGAAGAGTTTGAAATCCGATATGACTCCCTCAAGTCATGTGATCATTTCTTAGTATTTTATCCTTCAACATGGCCTCAGGAAATGCAAGACCTCCACAGTTTTGGAAACACAACAGTTTGCAGCATTCTCAAGAAATATGAGGCCACCTTGTAACTTGACAAAGATACCACTGTGACAGAATGGATGCGCTTAAAGCAGGCAGGAAAACGCCTGGGAGCCTCTTCTGTGTAGGACTTGGTCCAAATAGTAAATACAAGTAACCCAGATGCTTACTCCAACATCAACAAGGTGGTTAAGCTGTCTCTTACACTGCCTTTTAAGCAGTGCAGCTTGTGAGAGGGGATTCTCACATCTCAACATAATAAACCAAGTACAGATCTCGTCTGTCACATGCTCGTCTCTCAGCCCTGAAGCACATTAACCTGTCAAAGCAGACCACAGAGACATTTGACCCAAAGCCTGCTGTTGACCTGTGGATGGAGACAGCTAATCGGAGGCTCAACCAAGGACAGGGAGGTGCAGCATCTTCATCTACCATGCAGGAAGCTGAAGCAGAGGACAGTGGTGGCGGCACTGAGGAGGACAGTGAGGAAGACTGCACTTAAGACCAAGCTACATATGGGGTGAGTACCAGACACCATCTGCTGGTACTCACCTGAGTAACTCACTGAATAAGTTATGTGCACCCCTGTTTATATACACATTTGCCAAAGGCAGGAGTGTTGAAGGCTAAACTTGACCTAATTAATCCAACTGTTGTATTAAGTTAAGCTTTGTTTACTTAGAGGAACACTTGTGCATGTAGATGTACAGTATCCACATATGCCTCAATCCCATTCCAGCCATTAACTGTTCCTCTTGCTCCCCAGCACTCTCTACCATCGAAGGCCTCTTAGACCGTGCAGTTGCAGGGTTGGAGCAAGACCAGCCACTAAGAAATGTATAAGCTTTGTTTACTTTGATTATACCAAATGCAATTCCCTGCTTGTTGTTGACTAAAATCATGTTAACTCTTGAAGGCAACTGCACCAGAAGTTGCTGTAAAGATTGATGAGTTCATTGATAAATTGAAGAAGTTGAAAGAAGGTGAAAGTGGATTCACACTGGTAAGTCCAATTTTATCGCCCCAGCCTCATCAGTGTACAAGATTAAAGTTACATGAATTGAACGTTGCTGGCAATACAATCAAGGCACAGGTTTAATCAGAACTACAAATGTTTATTAGTATTTATTTTTTACTCTGGATTTCTTTCAGAATGATCCTCTGTTTAAGATACATGAGTATGTGTGTTGTAGGTCATTGATGATCCATCTGGGAACAGTTTTGTGGAGAACCCTTTTGCTCCGCAGAAAGATGAGGCTCTCTCGGTCAGCCACTACAAGAGAACACCCCAACAGGACGCCCAGTTAGGAATAAAGGCGAGTGGTTTGACTTCGACACATCACAACTCTCCTGTAAGGGGACATGTCTGTTTTAGAAAGGCAGTGCCTCAGATGCTGTCCTCATGACGTTGCCCTCATGATGTCTTGTGCCAATGCGTGTGGAATCATCACAGGGTAGAAAAAAAACAAAACAATATTTTATAATTTGACCCATGTTCATCAGTAGAAACTTATCTAGCATAAAAATGTGACTTAAAAATGTTTTTGTTTTTTTGCGTAGGCTGAAAAAGAGGAGGATGAGGAGGAAAAGCCCAGTAATGACATTGACAGTATGAGAAATGAGGTGGGATTTCCAGACATTTTGCATCACAATTTAGATTTTGAGTTTTTCCTCAATAATTGACCCTTGAGTAATATACCTTATTTTATCCCTCAGGTGTTGACGTTTAATACAAATTGTCCAGAGTGCAATGCCCCAGCCTCGACAAACATGAAGCTTGTCCGTATCCTGTCCAGTCGGGTTGGTTGTCCCCAGCAGTGGTGTAGTGGAAGGTTAAGGCACGTAAATGCCATTTACACCTTTTTTTATTTTGCGCAACCATTCCTCTCCTTTTGCAGGAAAATTCATTGTAAGTATAGGTAGTGGTACTTTACTCACCACAAATGGCTATCAGCATTAACCCACCAATTTTTTACAACTACATCACTGGTCCCCAGTAGTGTCCTATGATAACGATGGTGTAGAATGGATTTATTGTTTTTGTTCTCTATTTTACCCCCTTTTTCTCCCCAATTTCATGATATCCAATTGCGATCCAAATATGATCTTGTCTCATCGTGGCAACTCCCCAATGGACTCGGGAGAGGCGACGGTCGAGTCATGCGTTCTCCGAAAGATGATACGCCAAACCGCACTTCTTAACACCCGCCCACTTAACCCAGAAGCCAGCCACACCAATGTGCCGGAGGAAACACTGTTCAACTGACAACCGAAGTTAGCCTGCAGGCACCCGGCCTGCCACAAGGAGTCACTAGAGCACGATAAGCCAAGTAAAGCCCCCTCCCGGCAAAACCCTCCCCTAACCCAATTGTGGGTTATTGGGCCAATTGTGCGCTGCCTATGGGACTCCCAGTCACTGCCGGTTGTGACACAGCCTGGGATCGAACCCGGGGTATGTAGTGACGCCTCAAGCACTGCGATGCAGTGCCTTAGACCGCTGCTCCACTCGGGAGACCAGGCGTATAATGTTTCATTTTGCAAGGTTTAGGTGTCCTCCTTTACAATTCCTCAGAAATCCCCCATTTCAAAGAAGTCATTATCATGGCAACAAACTGTGAAGACTGTGGACATCGAACCAACGAAGTAAGTGTCCTCTATTTTTTTTAAATTAAGTAATTGTTAGGCACATGTATTTATTTTCAAGGCATATTCACAGATATTGCAAATATCCTAATATGAATGCATTCCAACTTGACAATCTACTCTGTGGGTAAGGTGAAATCTGGTGGAGCCACAGAAGAGCTGGGCACCAAGATAACCCTTCACCTCACTGACGTGTCTGACATGTCCAGAGATCTTCTCAAGGTAGCCCCCTCCATTGTACTTCCTGTCTTTTTATCTGGCATTCACTAGTTACCTTTTACTGTTGCGTCAACCTGGTCCCAGGTCTGTTTGTGCTTTTGTAAATTCCATTACTACCATTGTCAAGCCAAACAATGTTTGGCATGACAATGAGTGACAAGGAGTTTGCATGATAGCACAAACAGACTGGTACTTAGGCTACCTTTGCATGGCACAAAGTTCATAGCACCCATGCCAAATGGAGCTCATAATATGAATAGTATACTGTCGTGATTGAGGTGGCTCAGGTATTTGTTGACCTGTCTTCAGAGTTTGGGTCTTTTCCTAATCAATTCCTGTCAGTAATGGAACATGGAATTTTTTCACAGGAGAACTATTATATTCCTGAATCAGGATGGAGTTGACTCAACCATGTTTGTGTTTGTGCAGTCGGAGACGTGTAGCATCCTCATACCTGAGCTGGAGTTTGAGTTGGGGATGGCAGCTGTCGGTGGCAAATTCACCACCTTGGAGGGACTCCTCAAAGACATCAAAGATCTGGTGAGCGCTTTATTCAGATCAGGGCTGCCCAACCCTCTTCCTGGAGATCTACCATCCTGTGGGTTTTCAGTCCAACCCTAATTTAACACCTGATTCTACTTATTAGCTGCTCAACAATTAGGGTTGGACTGAAAACCTACAGGACAGTAGATCTCCAGGAAGAGGATTGGGCAGCCCTGATTCAGACCGTTGAGAAGTAGAGGGGGGAAATGGGTGAAGGGGAGACACAGTAGGAAGGGTGCACACGGATTGAACTCCAGTCTCCAGTGGAGTGTTGTATATGTTTTAATGCTGTTTGTGTTACCTCTAGTCCACGGACTCTGCACCTGGGAATCACTGTTGGCTTGGATACCTTTGCCATGGCTGATGTGCTGTCATTCGAAGGCCGCTGTGCACAACTCCAGTCCTTGTGGGATACTGTGTCTGCTGATTTCGTTTTCATCTTTTTAATTAGTGACTGATTTAGACCTGTGAAGCCAGGTGTGGCCAATCATTGACATTAATTGATTAGTTAAATACTAGGGAGAAACCAAAACCAGAAGGACTGCCATCCTCAAGGATTTAAGTTGTGCACCCCTGTTCTACGGTCTCTTTCCCTGTGGACTCTAGCTATATTGTATTAATGTCTTCACCACCACTGTTCTGTTTTCCTCCAGATTGTTTCCAAAAACCCATTCACTTGTGGAGACAGCTCCACTTCAGATCGAACAGAGAAACTGAAGCTTTTTGGCGAGAAGATTGACAAGGTTAGAGGCATATAATCCTTGAATATCACTACTGTTTTGTTTGGAGCTAGTTTTAGTCTGACTTTACATATATAACCGTAGTGTAATTATACATCCCGAAGTATTTACACATGGAAAGTTTTTACATATTTATTTGCATTCAATTTGTGAACTAACTCAGATGAACTCTTTGGCTAATAGTCTCGCTAGAATATTTTTTTAAGAGCCATTATCTCCATTGTGAGTTTATTGCAATTCTTTTAAATTGTGAATGTTACCAACTGGTATAACAGTTGTAAAAACTAACAATGTGTATCTGCACTGTAAATGCACTATAACTACCATGTAAATATACTTTTGTAAATGTAATGTATATTGGGACCCTAGTTTTATATTTGAACTAGGGTGCATTTATTCACTTATTGTATACTGACCCTCAATCATCAAACAACTTTTAGTATGACATGATATTTAGACTAAACAAAAGCTCATGCAAGAATTTCACATATGCTGTATCTGAGAAGAATACTTTAACATGTTTGGCTTGGCAACAAATTAGTTGTTGAATGCAGAACAGTCTGGCACCCATGCCGAAACTGTTGTATCTCAAAGTAATAATAATAATATGCCATTTAGCAGACGCTTTTATCCAAAGCGACATACAGTCATGCGTGCATACATTTTTGTGTATGGGTGGTCCCGGGGATCGAACCCACTACCTTGGCGTTACAAGCGCCGTGCTCTACCAGCTGAGCTACAGAGGACACACAAGTGTAATGGAGGCTGAGTGGGACTTTAAAACGGCTCTTCTTTTGAAAAATACTGTAGATCATGGCGGGAGAAATGGATGTGCACATCGTTCTCGACGACCCTGCAGGGAACAGCTATCTCCAGGTAAAAGACACACTCCTTTCTCAGATGTCTAAGGTTCAACGCATCATCTCCTCTCAGTTGATTAATTTGTAATGAATTGGAATTCATTTGTGTCGTGTTTGTCTGCAGAACGTCTATGCCCCTGACCCAGACCCAGAGATGACAACTGAGAAGTACACCAGGACCTTTGAGCAGAATGAAGACCTTGGTCTCAATGATATGAAGACAGAGGGATATCAGGAGTAAGGACATCTGCAGCAGTAGAAAGGTTGATCTTACAAAAACAACGCATCCCATAAATTTAATTTAAGAGATTTGCCCTCACTGAAGTTGCTGACTCACAAGGACACACTCCAGATGTCTTAGTTTTGATATTTGGTTTGATATATGGTTGAAAATTTGAAATATACATTATTTAAAAGGAAACGCTCAATATGGTGTTTATAATTTGATTAGAAAAGTATAAAAAAAGAGAAATGCACAAACATCCAGTTTATTAATTATCCAATTTAAATAATTTGTATGTGTATTCACATCTCTGGTTGGAAATGTGGTTCTGATTCAGTGGAATTGACCTTTTTAATTTATGTTCTTTTCAATGGGAATAAATAAACTAAGAATACACATGGCTGCTTTGTATTTTTTTTTGGGTGTGGCTTCTTTCCTATGTTCAATGTACAGTATGTGTTATATAGATCTGTAAACTTATAGAATTCAGTACCACAATCTTCAATTATAATAACACTGCATAAATGCCCACAGATCTGAAAAGAACCAATTCTAGATTAATTTCAATGTGGTGTCTTTAGTTCATGCGCCCTGATTGAAAATTCCCGGATTGTGAAAACAAACTAGACTGTTTATGCGCGTGCCCTATACCACTACATAACATTTATTGAAATAAAAAAAATCAAATGTATATTTGACTGACCTCAAGATGTTACATTGTTTAGCAAAAAATTTGTTCATAAACTACTACTGAATAAAAACAAACCCAATATTGTTCCATATAGGCCTACAATAAAATCTCTGTGGCGTTATTCACCCCACCCTCAAATGCGCCAGCATAGTCCAGATCCAAGAGACCACAGTGGCGAAATTGTTATTTTATACGAAAAATGTAACTTCAATTGCGACGACATACATTTATATGAATGGTCCAAATAGTAAACGATGGTGGGTAGGCTACGCATTGAGAAGGAAAAAATAAGCATTGTCCATCTGCAAGCATCCCTTTATCAGGTAGTGCTGGCATTAAAAATGAGGCTCTATACAGAAGTGTGTGTGGCTCTTAAAGGAGCTCAGCTTTGTTGTGATATTTACTGTCTAAGCTGGTTATTTGCTCTTTGCTGGTTTTTCAGTCTTCTTGGGTAGGAGGATAGCCTGAATGTTAGGCAATACTTCTCCTTCCGCGATGGTGAAGCCACCTAAAAGCTTGTTGAGTTCCTCGTCGTTGCGGACAGCCAGCTGAAGGTGGCGGGGGATGATCCTGGTCTTCTTATTATCCTTTGCAGCGTTGCCAGCCAACTCGAGGATCTCAGCCGTTAGGTATTCCAGCACAGCAGCCAAATACACAGGAGCTCCGGCACCGACACGCTCTGCATAGTTGCCTTTGCGCAGTAACGATAGTTACCGGAGTGTAACTCCAGTTCTCTGCTCCTATTGGTTTACCCCGCTGCCTAGGCAGCGAACAGCCTGAGACAAAATTATGCACACACCTGCAGCCAATAGGAGTACAGGTGTCCCTATAAGAGGGGACGCTTCCCCTCAATCAGCCTCCCGAGAAATTATCTTCAGCGAGACTAGAGAGGGTCGGCAGGGCCTTAAGTCCTATGGGGCTCCGCTCCACTCATAGAACTGGAGTTACACTCCGGTAACTATCGTTCTATATCGTGGAGCTCTGCTCCTATTGGTTTAAGGTGGAGCTCAATGCTCCAAAATGTACTCCCTGCCGAGCCCAACACTTCCCATCTAAATGAAAAGGTCTGGTCCTGCAGTACTGTAACACACTGTGTCACAATATACTGCGTCCTCGGTTCAAATCTGCCCCACCTAGTCCAGTGGCATCACTAATGTCTGGTGGGCAGATAACCAGAATATGGGCAATACTAATCTGTACTAGCAGATAGATGGTACCTCAATATCCTGTTACAACAATACCGACCACTAATGGAATGACACAAAATGTCACTCTACATTGTGTACACGGTAGCCCGCCCCACTCTATCAATGAAACCCCAAAGATTAGTGGGAAAGTTGTCATGACCGGTCTAATAGTACCGTATCCAAGGTTGCTACTATTGTCCCTCATCATTCCGCCGCAACCCAGTTATTCGCTGGTGGGCAGATGTGGTCCTCTGTAGCTCAGCTGGTAGAGCACGGCGCTTGTAACGCTAAGGTAGTGGGTTCGATCCCCGGGACCACCCATACACACAAAAAATGTGTATGCACGCATGATGCTAAATGGCTTATTATTATTATTATTATTATCAATACATGCCTTCTACTGTACTGAACATGTCAGTCAGGAGTCATGCTAAAATATCTCTCTATCAGAAGCGGACCTGAAAGAGACCTGTCTCAGTCCTGCATTCCTCTCTCTTACCTCAAGTCCTCCCTTCAGCCACGCTGAGTACAGACTGAGCCAAAGAGTTAGAAGACATATCCAAGAGATAGAAACGGATAAAAGGAGACTGTGACGACCACGACGCCGCTGCTGCACAAATATCCTCTACCCCTGTTCCTCTGAAAAGAGCTGTAGAAGCTGCTACTCCACGAGTGGAGTGAGCTCTTACGCCCTGAGGCAATGGTCGCCCGCTGCCTCATATGCCGTCTCAATGCCTTCACAAAGCCAGTGAAAGTGGTCTACCCAGTGTAGCCGCACCGTGACACACAAACAACTGAGGCGATGACCTAATCGCAGCCGTGCACTCTACGTAACATGCCAAAGCACGTACCAGGCACAGGCGATGGAGCCTCTCCTCTCCCCATGAGGAGGGGGAGAAAAGGCCCACAGCTCAACGATCTGTGATCTATATGAGCTCTTAATAACCTTCGGCATAAAAGCTGGGTTAGGACATAACACCGCCCTGCTCAAATTGGCATTAATGGCAAGGCAGTCGGGTCTCGTCGAAAGAGCACACAAATCACTGACACGCTTAGCAGTAGTCAAAGCGTGCAACAGTGCCGTCTTCAATGACAGCATCTTGAGGGGTATTTGAATTAATGGCTCGAACAGCGACTCACAGAGCGCTTCGAGTACCAAAGCTAAATCCCACTGAGGAAGCGTGGCTCTAGGCATCGGCCTAAGCCGCCGCGTTCCTAATAGGAAACGTTTCACTAGAGGGTGGCTAAAGACTGTGTCTCTGCCACACCCCTCGTGACAAGCTGAAATCGCAGCTGCAAACACCTTCATGGTGGCGGGCGATCGCTGCTTATCAAACAAACTGCAGGAACGAGAGTACACTCTCAACCTGACAGTTCGTGGGGTCTACATTCTCTGTGACACACCACTCTGAAAACACGTTCCATTTACTGGCATACACCCTGGAAGAGGAACCGGCACGTGAACCCTGTATGGTCCTGATTACTGAATCAGATAACCCACGGCGCTCTAGCCTGTCCCTCTCAGGAGCCAAGCCTTCAGTGGATGGCCGATTATGGGCAATCGCCCTATCGAGCCCCCCGCCTGAGACAACGCGTCCCGTCGATGTGGAATCGGCCAAGGTGGCGCAATCAACATCTGACTCATCTCCGCAAACCATGGAGCGATCGGGGGCCACCAATATTATTGACAGCCCGCCTGATCTCACCCTGGCTAACAGTGGGAGAATACAGGACAGCGGTGGGAATGCATACAGGAGAACTCTCGGCCACGGTCTGTGCCAAACGCGTCCCTCCCCAGTGGCGGTTTGTCCTGTTCCCTTAGAGAGAACCATGGAGGACAATGCGCGTTCACACGTGACGCGAATAGATCCACCTCGGCTCTCCCGAACTGTTCACAAATTTGTAGAACAATATTCCGGGTGCAGATGCCACTCGTCATCTCGAGGACCCCCTCGAGACATGAGGTCTGCTCCCACGTTCAAGTAGCCTGGAATGTGTGCTGCTCTCAACAAGCGAATGTGCTCGTGAGCCCACAGCCACAATTCCTCCGCCGACCGGTGGAGTGCAGGAGACCTGACTCCTCCCTGGCGATTTATGTAGGCTACTGTGGTCCGGTTGTCTGACCAGACCAACAAATCACGACCCCGAATGGTAGACGCAAAGTGGGTCAGAACCAGTCGAACCGTTTCCAACTCCAAGAGGTTGATGTGGCGACTCAAAAGAGGCCGCACACCTCCTATCGCTTGGGTCTGACATGTCTCTCTCCATCAAGTAAGAGAGGCATCTGTAAACACTGGAATGTAGGAGGACACTTTGCCTATTGGGACTCCGTGCGTGAGAACGCTCGGGTCTCTCCAATAGTTCAGATCTGCACTGAGCGAGAGAGGAACCACCACCAACCGAAGACGTTGACGCACTGGGTCTAGTCTTAGTTGGGCGAAGCATCGCTGCATCCTGCGCATGCGCAGGAGTCCCAGCGGGACCACGAAATGGGCTGACGACATGAGACCCAAGAGTGACATGACTGACAGCGCCGTTACCGTGTGATTCAGACAAAACCTTCTCAGGGCTAGCAACAGGGCTACCCTTCGAGGGTCTGAAATTTGAGCCCTCATCATTACAGTGTCTAGCTGTATCCCCAAGTAGACAATCTGATGACTGGGCCAGGGCGCGCTCTTTTTCCAATTCACAGCGAACCCCAGACGCGTGAGATGAATCACTGTCTGTGTCGTGTGAGTGAACGCCAGCTCTGCTGATGGGGCGAGAACCAGTAGGTCGTCTAGGTAGGCTAGTAGCCTTATTCCCTGACGATGCAACGGTTCCAATGCCGCCTCCACACACTTGGAAAACGTGTGAGGTGCCAGGGCGTACCCGAATCCTTTGCTCCCAGGGAACTACTGTGACCGCCTCCTTCGCCAAAAGTTCTGTAATCTCTGAAACCAGAGCGGCCACTTTTTCGGGCATTTTCATCACCGGGTCCGGTGGAATTGGATGGCATAACCCTTCTCCAGCACCTGGTCTAGCCAGTGGGAGAGAGTGCAGCTTCGCCGCCACTCCCAGCAATGCAGAGAAAGCGGAAGAGCGCAAAGCTGTGGTACTTTCAGTAGGAAGGACCTGTATTCCTCTATGGCCATCGCCACCGCTGTTCCCCAACACTGAAGTGGTGGAACAGCCCAAGGCGGGCCTCCCCAGAAAGAGATGAACTGTCAGCGCGTTCTGAGAGATACGTTGGTTAAACTCGTAACCGTAGTATTCCGGCCCTCCGTGAACGCAGCACGGGTCTGAACTGCACTGACTGAGGCGTTAGCCTGAGACAGAGCGCCGTCCCCGAATAGCGGTTGCGTCATCATGCCATTATCTGGCTGAGACTGCAGTCTGCTATGTGAGACACTCACTACAGCACTCCTAGGAGTCTGTAAAGTGAGGTCTTTATGAGGTAACACAAGGCGGCGCCTTGATACCTTTTTTACACCTGCCTCATGTGTGCGCTCAGCTACGCACTCTAGGTGGGCTGAGCTGC